TTTAGGTAGGCTGATTAGCAGCTGAACTTACATTTCATCAGACAGAGAACAAGCTGTCTTCCATTTCATATGGTAGGGCCCTGGAAAGACTCCTCCTTCATGCTGCTTATTGAAAACAGGATCCATTTAAATTTAAAAACAAACAAACAAACAAAACCCCTTGCTTGCAGCTTCAGCAAATTAATTCATCAGTATTATCTTCGTTTGTTGAAGTTCCTTGAGCCTATTAGATACACACATTTTCACTTTACTGACATTTTGCTGTTCTGCTTGTAAAATTCAGTGAACAGCTGCCTATTTATCTTTGCATGTACATCCATACAAGTTGTGTCATCTGGCTGTTACCAGTAGGATCAAAGTTCCAAGCACACAGGTAACTGACCTCAAAGGTGTTTGAAGTCCTTGTTTGACATGACTTATGTTACTCTCTACGTCAATAGTTATTTCATCTGTTGTTTGTTATATTTACAACTGAACAAAATAACGAGAATAGAAACTACTACTCAACACAGCTTTCTTAAGACATTCTCCTGTTTCAGTACAGGAATAATTTCAGCTATACTAGCCTACTTTTTAAGAATAAGGCTGTACAGTATCTGCAGTGAATGTGATTGATTTCTAGTGTTACTATAAATTTAAGCTCTCAATTTAAAAGTCAGAGTTGAGAAACACGAACACCTCACTAAAGTATGCCAGGCTTTCTTCTTCATTGCTTCATCTGAAAATCATTCAGAACTATTACAATAAGATTGTGTTTCATATTTTCATTGCATGATGAACACCCAACAGGGAGGCAACCTGTGACTTCTTTAGGGAAGAGTGTATGTATAGCCAAATGAAACTGGGTTCCCAGTAACCAGGGACACTGAACTTCGATATGAGTTAATGATACAGAGGAAGAAGAGGAACAAAGGCAACTGAGGGGGGTGAAAGGGGAAGATGAGTAACAGACTTACCTAATAAGAGGCCAGAAATCCCAAGTTTATAGGCTGAGTTCTCTTCCCTTTATAGGCAGGCATTGGCATTAGTTGTGGTTTCATGAGATCAGACCTGCACTGTGATAGTATCTTACAAACTGCAGCCAAGGCAGAGTGCAGAGGGCAGGGAAAGACAAAGAAACAAAACAGAAAGAGTGGGTTAGAGACAACAACATGGTATCGTATCCATCCCAAGCAAATATGGCATGAATCTTCCCACCATACCCATATCAATGTTCTCAATAGTATTCAAACAATTTATTAAGAATTCTGAGGTGAAAAGTTTATTCAGAAGAATGTTCATGTGATGAGGCTTTAATAAATCACCGTTCCTGGATGGAAAGAAATACATACCACACTAGATTTTCCTAGTCCAAGTACACTACTTAAGCTCTTGGTGGCCATGTCTGCTTTAGACACCCAGAAGCTAGCTACACCATCCACCTAAAACTGAAATCAAAACATCAGATTAAAGAAATCTGCATGTGTAATACATCCTTGAGCAGCACTGTGGTATAATTTGCAGGGTATAGCTACATTTGTTATACCCAAAATCAAGCCTCATGTTTAGTTGTAGCAGCAACAGCCAGTAGCACCTATTTCTGAGTCACTTGTCTTGGATAATTAGTTTGCCAAGAGCATGAGTCACCGAGTCAGAAATTAGTTAGAGAATGACTCATTTCTAACTTTATACTAATATTATACTTAAAAATAAAAAGGACTCCCCTCTTACCCCAAAATTGTTACATGTTTTGGTTCTTTTCACAATCCCAAAATGTGCTTTATATAGAAAATCTGGATTAAATGTTGGAATAATTATCTTCTCTTTATAATGCCATTCACTCAGAAAGATCCTACAGTGCTTTATAAATGTGTGTGTATTTTTCAGTGCACCCACACATATGATGAAGTGTGGCAGTATGACCGTACTTGGCAACATTATACAAAAGCACCTGACTGAATCTGCAGTCAGATCCTATAATTTGCTGAAACAAGAAGGGAAAATTCAGATGCACAAAACTGAATTAGTAACAATGAAATTTTGCTGTTTACACCTTTTTGCAAAATGGGGTTTATTCTGACTACAAAAGGTCAGATCAGCCAGTACGTGATAACACTCTTCATTTCAGTGGGAATCTTCCAGTTTCTTCAGATTTCAGCTGTGACCAAAGTTTCAGTAAGGAAGGCTGACCTGTTTCATAACTCTGCTTATTCTTGGCTCCAGCATGTTGTGACAACATGAGGCAGGGCAGCATCAAATTGAGAACAAGATGTTAAACTGCATTTGGAAATACTCTCTAACTCTGCAAGTCTGGTTATGCCCAAATACTGCAATCCAGGCAGCCACCTGCATATTTGAGTCCTTGCTGAAGAATTGCCAAAGATGTAACTCACAATTTAGCCAATCTAAGACTGCCTAACACAAGAGAAGCAGCCCTGCCCTTCTGTCCCACCAGCACTTCTGCTGTTCCAGTATCTGTTTGGCCACATAGATGTACTTGCTGATTTGGCTGAAAATAATGGCATAAGAACGTGCTAAAAAAAATTAGCTGCTCATTAGTCCACCCTCTGAGAAGCAACTGAGACTTCATAAGTTTTCATCATCGTTCATCTGCTGGTCCCCTCTGAGTGAAGAAGACTTTTCCTCTTCAAGGACTGCGAAGAGCACTGTTGTCCAATTGCAAGGCACAAATACAGTCTCTTTTTTTCAGAAGTATGATTTTGTTCTATGCAGGGCAGATGTCTAGCTCATATCAAGCTCTCTGCCTTCTGTTTTTCCTACAGGATGGGCAATGCTCAGCCTGTAATATAGTAAAATATAAGTTTTAAAAAAAAAAAAAAAAAGTCAAGCTCACAGTAAAACAGGAATGCCCTGGGCCATTTGCTATTGTCAAAGAACCATTATTTTCAAGTCCTTTAAAGATAAATCACTGGTTAAGAAATTTTTTTCCTAAATGTTCATTCCTTGCCCTTTTATCGTACTGAAGGATAACCGTGTTACCCAAAACTAGACATTAATTTTGATATCTAAACTAAGAGGCTAGTGAAGAAAGCAAGGTTCCTCCAGAGAGTAATTTGGATTACACTTCTATTGCTTAGCTGTGCCAAGAGTTAAACAAGAGTTTAACTTAGGCCTGAATCCATTCTGAGCATTTCTCACCACTGGCTGTACAAGAAGCTCAAGTTAAAACATCTGAAGGTCAGTGGTGTGACAATACCGCTCCTTCATCTTCACGTGAGTTAAAGCAGAAGCCCCGAGTGCCCAAAGCCATGATGGCATTCCAAGAAGGGTACAGAATGTCAGAGAACAGCACTGATTTCTGAGGTCAAGACAGCTGGCTGACACTTGGCAAGAATAAAAGAAGCTCTGTCTTGGGTGTCAGAGACAGAAAGATGAGAAATACTACACTGAAATACTGTAATGGCTACACTGTAACATAGTCTGCTCCTTGGACTTAGCCCATGTTATTTGAGCAGTAAGTTTCTTGCTCTTGATCCACATCTTTTTGAGGATATATATGTTTTATTTTTGAGACACAGAGGTGTCCAGTCTTTTGGCTTCCACACAGAACTTATATATGGATGTACACACACATCCCCTCCTTTAGTGGAAATCCTTCAGTTTCTTCAGCTATCAGCTATATATCTGATACATATTTAGATATATCTTGGTATCTTGGCCAGTTTCCCTATTTCAAAATTGCATTACTCTAGATATATATTGACTTCATGTTCCAATTTACTTATCTTGTTAAGTTTTTAGTAAGATGACAGAGCAACAGTTGAGAATGTAACTTCTAAAAATATACTTGGTAAAATCTTCTGGGGCTGTTCTGAGGGCTCTGAGACCATTAGGCAGCTATTTAGAACCTGTATTTTACATAACACTACAAAAAAAAAAAGAAACAATATTCTTAAAAAGTAATCCTAAGGATTAAAGCTCAAATTTCTTACACCATGAAGAATTTTAATAAGCAGCTTGGAACTGAAATAAAACTTCTGAAACCTCAATTGAAATAAAACTCAAACATATGCTTCATTTTAGGGAAACTCAACCCCGAGATTTTACCTTTAAATTATGGTTACTCATGCTGGTATTTATACAGCTCTGTGGATGATTGAGAAAGAATCAACAACACATGGAGAGAAATAAAGTTTTACTAATAAGATTTGGAATGCATCTCCAGCCCTTAACCTGGAGCTAACACACTGTCTGTGTCATGTATAGCAAAGAATGGCAACAGGCCTAGTCTCAGACATTAAGCAAACATCTGCAGAACTTAGGCACAGCTTTAGAAATAAAAAAAGAAAGAAGAAAAAAGAGGAGGCATTTCAGGGAACCAAGAAAAATTTGGATGCACAGTTCAAATACCCTTCATGAGATATAAAAACATTTCCTGAAGTAGGCAGTGTTTCTGGATGGCATTTTCTCTATCAACAATACTATCCATTTTGATGACCCAAGGATATAAAAACTTGAAATCCATAGCAAAACCATAATGCAAGATCCAGACTATGTGAAAACTGTCCAAAACTCATGCTGACTTCTGTATGTATAGGATTCAGTTTAGTATTCCACTTGTAGAGCCATTTCTAACAGTATGTCCTGAGACATCAGTGTATCATGTTGACTAGGAGAGAAGAATTTTACACAACTATTCAATATCAACCATCAGTCTTCCTCTTTGTGGATTCTCTGTCAAGATTTCTAATTATGTGATTACCAGTAACTCAAAAATGTCTCATTCACAGGACTCAGCAGAGTCACACACCAACTGTGTCTGGTTGGGATGGGATTCATTTTCTGGGGCACAACGCAAATGTCCTACAGACTATATTTACACAGCATACAGTTTAAGAGTAGTCATCTTTTCTTATAAAAATACAATTTCATAGAATAAAACCTTTGACTGTATATATTATTAATTATATTATTTGTTATTATTATTAATGTATCATTATATTAGCAATAGTTTTACTATTCAATGCACGTATCTCAAACACCTAATAACTAATTATGCTATTCATTATATGACTATTAACCAGTCAGACAAAACAGCTGATGCATTTATAGGACAAATACTTGTGTCACAACGTGAAAACAGTTCTTACCATTTTCTCCAATGGAGGCCTCTTTTGCTGTTACATTGACTACTATGATATCATGTTGTTTTGCCTGATCAGCCGACTCATGTCTAAATGTTTCAGCCCCTTTCAGCAATAAAGAAGCAAAATACTTAACCATCACTAGTGGTCTTACAGCATCGTGTTGCCAGAGTTACAGAAAGATCCTAGAAAAAGCAGAAGAAAAAACAAAGTAGATTTTATTTATTTAGTTAGCTAGTTCTCCAATTAGTAAAGCTTCAGTCTCCTTTGGTAGTAAAAAATATATAAATATATACACACATACACAAAATATTGCTCAATTATTATTCACCTTGATATCCTACTAAAAATTGGCAGTTCAAATGAGTGAGTCATAGAAACATTTAAGAAACATATTTTATCCTTATTTATGCTGTGATGATGCTGAAAAACCCCTCTGGGTTAAGAATCCCACTACATTAGGAGAACCCAAGTACAATTGCCCTAATGGAAGGCCCTAAGGATCCTGCCTTGAAAAGTTTCCTGTTCATAACAACAAAAGATTTAAATATGGATGGGTGGGTGGAGAAAATATACAGCACACTCATAGTAAAAAAGAACTAACTGCCTTACCAATTCCTCAGAATATCTAAGCCATTCCCTCGCTTTAGTTGCAAGATCCTGTGTAGAACACCATCACCATGAGGCACCTGGTTACACACACTTATGAAAAAGCTTTTCAAACTAAAATAACCTGACAACTCAAGTACATTGAAATGCTTGGTAAGAATAATGATCCAAGGCACAACCATTTCAGGTATGTTTGAAGCCTGTTGATGAGGGGTAGAAGGTTCTGATTTCAAAATGCTAGATCTGACCTTCAAGATGGTGACTACTTATATTAATGCACTATAGAGAATAATTGATTTTGAAACTTTTTGGTTCAATTACAAGATTAAAAGGTTGGTTACAGCTGAAATAATCTCTTTAGCTCATCAGAGAATTATGCAATAATTCAAAGAGGGACAGAAGGAATACCAGACAGTTGAGGGAGAAACAGGAAGAAACAGCAATAGTTTTTTTTTCTCAGTTGCATTCTTTCCAAAGTCTTGAATTATACAAACTGAAAGAAATACATCTCATGTGTATTTCAGAAAATATGCTTCAAATCTTCTCCTATGTAAGACAGTAAAGCTCTTGTTGAAGGAGTAATACTACGTTTGCCATGCACAGGTTTTCATGTGAAGCTATAAAGATTTAAAAATGGTATGTTGAGCACATGTAGCATGTTTTCATTACACAAAACACTGGCATGGGACCAGGTGGCCTCACTGCATCTATGAGGAGAACACGCATGGGAGTACCTGAACAAGCCTTCTTAACACAAACATGTCTCCAGCTGTGAGCTCTCTGTCTTCTCTCTCCTCAGTGAATGACTCTTTAATCAGCTGTAATCACCAAGCCCAAGTATCCCCAGCACCTTCCCTGCTGGAGCAGCTAGCCCAGGGAAGCATCCAGAGGCCAAGCATTAAGGCCAAAGTCCAGCATCAGGTGCTACAGTTTGCCTCCTGCTACCCATCAGTGATTCCTCCTTCCTTCCAGCACCCTGGCTAGCTTTCTCATACTAGCATATGCTCCTCAAGCCCCCTCTTTGTCAGTGAATCTATGATTCATTTTCCAAACTGTATTTCATGTTCCTAGAGCACCTCAATGGAGTAGCCTCACAACCAGCTCCTTCCAGGGAAGGTTTCCTCCTGCCCCACCCAAACCCCCACAATTACTCAGTTAACTAAATTAGCCATGAAACAGCAGCAGCATTTGCAGACTGAGAACAGAAAGCTCCTGCCTCCCCCAGGGAAAGGGCCCAGTGCCCTGACCAACTGCCCTTCTCTGCCCAGCACCACTGAGATATCCCTGTCCCAAAGCCACTGCCTGTCCCTAGGGAAAGTCCTTCCAAGCCAGGGAGCACCTGCGAGACTCAAGAAGTAGCTCATTGCTTAAAAGAGATCATAAAAGAAAACATACCTACACTGCTAAAGGAAAATAAGCGAAAGAACAGCCTGTGAAGTCACATAAAATCAGCTGTATGTGCATTAGAAAGTGTCACCCCAAAGGCAACTGATGGCAGTGGGGGTACAGGATCAAATTAAAGGAAATGCACCCACCAGGCTGTGGAAATAAGAAGGATAAACAACACGAACTGCCCTGAAAGATAGAGATTAAAAAGGGCTGGCATGGCAGACTACCAGAAGTATTACATAAGGCACCATTTTCCTCCATCTCTGTGACAACAAACAGGAGTGCTCTTGCCAGTCGGCCCCAAACGAACCCTGCAGAAGGACTTGGCCTGCATCCAGGATGGGAAGGCAGTGCTGTCAGGGCATGGGGAGCCACAGCAGAACCAAGACTGATGAGGGAAAACTGAAGTACTTTGTTAATTCCCTGGGGAAGGTAAGTTGAGTACAAAGAAACTGAAGCCAGTTCTGGTTTGGCTGCTGCTCAGATGTGCTGAAGGATGCTGGGCAGTGTTGACTGTGTCTCTAATTACTTCTGACAGCAATGTAAAAGCAAGCTGAGAAATGCTGTCTCATAGGATATCATCTTATCACTCGGATGAGTAGACTATACACGACTTTTGAATCCCATCCCAAATAAAAGGAATATGATTCCAAGGGTAATGGCAACAAGTAATTTATAAAAATCTTTTCCCCTTGGGAGTGGTAAGTTGCTACACAAGTTATAGAGAATTTAAAAAGAAACACAATCAAATTTCAGGGGTGAATGAGTTTCTGAATGATGTTTTGGCAGCAGATATACTTTTTGCAACTGGCTGTCGTTGCACAACCCACTTTAAGGAAAATATATTGGTGGAAAGTCATAAAGCTTATATACATAGATGAAGTTGCCTCATCTCCCATTCCAAAGCAAGCTGGATTGGTTATGCTGACCTAACGTTTTCTTTATCATGGTTTGTGTGAGACTAGGAACACATGTTAGATTGTGATTTAGTTTGCTCTTTCAGTATCCTAATGGTAGTCCTTTGAGATACAAGTTCAAATTAAAATTTAAAAATGTGCAGTATTATAAAAACAGTTTTAGAAATCTAATATTCAAACACAATCAAAATATTGCCTGTACCATGAGCTTTGTTATGCACCAACTTAGCAAGAATAATTTTCTGCAGGACATAGAACCTCATCTTTTTAGGAATATACCTTGCAAAATATTTCAACAAGATCTTCAATTTTCCTTTCCAACAAGTAGAAGAGAACAGCTGTCAGGTTTGATCCCAGGAAAATCTCCTCTCTGCAGATACAACCTCTCACTTCCAGGCTTCGCAGGCTTTGCCCGTTCCTATGGGACACAAATCAAGTTTGACACTGATCAGGTTTGATCCCTTTCTTTCAGAGTCATTCTCAGTCTCCTTCTGGTATGAAAAAGTTGGTTTGGCATTAGGAAAGTTCAGTAGTTTTAATTCTGTTTAGGAGAGAATCAAGATACTTTTAAAAAAGTGAGCCTAAGTCAAAGAACGACTTGAAGAACTTTTCAGTTTTGCTAGCAAACAATTTCAAATTCAACATTGCATCATTTTCTGCTGTTAAAACAGACCAACTCCTGCAACATGGCCTACATCTGAACCGAAATTGAGTATACATATTTTACTGATATGACACAGCCTCTCTTTAAAGAAAGATAGAATTAATCCCAAAGAAACCTCATCAAAGCAGCTGATACAGGATCTGTGTAGGATTATTCCTTTATAGAATTGCTTGGTCCCACTGGCATTCTTTTCTTCAAATGAAAAACAAACGTTTGGTTTTGGCAGATATTGACTACTTTCAAGTTACTTGTCCTTTTATTTCAATTTAAAACAGGCAGACATTCCTTATTAAAGTTCAAAGAATTTCAGTCTGATTCTGAGAGAAACTCATGGTGACTTTTGTTACCAAATCCTGTACATTCCCATACCCTGACATTCTAGAAAACAATGATCTGATTGGTGTTATGACATTGGTTTGAAAATAAAGGTGAAGGATTTCTCTTACTGTTGATTAAGAAATCAAATGCCCATCATGCAAACCTGGTACCCAGCAATAATTTCAGTGTGGGGAAGGTTTTAAACAAAGGTGCCTTACTAAGTGTTTAGAGCAGCTGTCGTTTGTCAGGACTGGAACACAGGGTAAGGCTGTCACAGGTGAGAATGGAAGGCTTAGACAAAGTTAGTAAAAAGCAAAGCCTTGCTGGTGAGTTTCGAGGTACAGAAAGGATTCCCTTCCTTTCTAAACTCCTTCTGAAAGAAGGGCTTAGGTGTGGTTGAATCCCATCTTAGCCTTGGACTGTGTTAACAGTTTAAAGGAATTATAGAGGTGTGATTAAACCACTTTGTCCTGCAGGTTTTAATGATGTCAAAACAGATATATTTATATAAATGAATTATTTATTATGACAAATTAACAAACAGGTGAACAGATGAAAAATATTAATCAGAATTATTTACTACACAATATAAACACTAAAAATCTACTAGTAGAGTATAATACAGCATAAAGTAGTATAGTGCACCGTGACAGAGCAATTATTGAAACAGTTATATTAAACCTAGCAAAAAGAAATAATTATTGAGTAGACATCTGATATAAGACCCATACCAACACTAGTGGGGAGATCTCTTTCTCTCTGCCTCGAGGAGTATCCTTGGAGGGCATCCCTAGCCAAGGGAGGAATCTCCACACACATACCCCAAGAAGGGTTATGTCAGAAGAACCTGACTGCATGAGAGGGGACTGGACTTTTATAGTATAAAGTGCTTGACTGCTAGTCACACACTTACAGGCCAGCTATCAGCTTATCTGTCAAATCAGACTTCAAAAAGCAGGGTGTTTATTCAAAGTCTAGTGAACCAGGATGGTTTTAACATAAGTAACACCAAGACAACACCCTGGCTCGAGCAGTTGATCTTGCATGATAGCTTGATTGGATTTTAGGTCTAATGAGGGTGGGTCTATCCTGCCACAAAGGTACAAGCACATCCTGGACTTAAAGGAGGTGTTTCCCAACTCAGCTGATCCCTGCTCTGATACACAGCATCTGCAGCTTGTGCAGGTCACCTGGCCTCTTCCCTCTCATCACTGCGATTATCCCGTTTATAAACAGATAACCGCAAATGCCCGTGGAAGCAGCACCGCTGTGACCACCCCGAGCGCTGACAGGTTTGAACTTACACACCTCCTTCTGCCGCGCCTGAGGGAGGCGAGGTCCGGGCGCTGCAGGCAGGTGAGGGCAGGCCCGGCGGGGCCAGGGCGCCTTCCTGCGGCAGCCGAGATGGTGTTGCCGCTGTCGCCGCCGCGAGGCCGAGCCCTGGCGGCCCCGAGTGCCGGCGGTACCGAGACCCCCACAGCCCCCTCCGAGCGCACCGGCCCCGCCGGAGGGCGAACCCCGGCACGGCAGCCCCGCCCCTCCGGGACTACACCTCCCGTCGGGCCTTGCGCCGCCGCACTCCCAGGAGGCCGCGCGGGCGCCGAGCGCTGCTATTGGTCGGATTCGAAAAGAAGCCGCGACTGGTGCGGAGGGCGAGGGAGAGACGCGGCGGGTGAGCGGGAATGGGAGCGGGAGCGGGAGCGGGAGCTGGAATGGGCGGTCGGGGCAGCCCCTGCGGGGCGCGGGGCTTTCGCTTGCAGAGGAAGGGTGGCTGGGGCCCGGGGTGCGGGCAGTTTTCGGTGTTCGTGCAGGGCGTGGGTAACGCCCGGGCCAGGCCGTGCTGGGGCAGAGCCCCGGCGGTTGTGTCCCGTAGGAACGGGCAAAGCCTGGAAGTGAGAGGTTGTATTTGCAGAGAGGAGAGTTTCCTCTTTTTTTTTTTTTTTTTTTTTTTTATATAGTGTAAGGGCTGATGCTTTAGGTTTTATATGGGCTCCAACGTGGTTTGGAGCTTTTTCTACCTTGCCTTGTGCTGCCTGGCAGTGCTGCAGGCTGCACGTGTGTGCTGTGAGCACGCTTTGCTGTGTGTGCCACTGGGGATCCCCTTCTTTTAGGGTGTCTGCAGCTCTATTGCCGCGGTTAGTAGAGTTATAATAACACTGTATGCACTTACTTTCTAGTGGCTGCAGCCAGGCAATATAGTTGTTTACACCAGAATATCTGAAGCAATTGCAGTGCTGTGTGACACCATGTGGAGGCAGATATATAGTCTGCACCTTGGGCTTTGCATTCTGTCAGGGATTGAACCTCACTACCCTGAGTGCTGGGCTGTGTAAACACTTCTAGTGCCAGCTTTGGAACACAGCTTGATGTTTGCTTTTTGCCTCTTACGTAAAAAGATACAGAACGAGAGCATAATCTTGACAAATCACACTTAAAGCTTATATTTAAAGCAATTAAAAAGTCAGCTATCTAACAAATATATTTCCTGTAAAGGGCTGATAAGAGTTTTGCAGTGTAGCTTTGTGTAGCTGGTGAATAAGACTTCAAATTGTGATAGCACAGGTACGTTTCTTTCCAACTGTAGCTTATTCACAGGTCAGTCTTTGTTCACGCTGTGATGATATTCTGGGCCACATTTTTCCTGGTTTTCATACAGTTGCCTGACAAAACTTAAAAATGTAGATTAGAAGAAACAAAGTAAACATTGATGCTTAGTTTAGGTATATTTTTACCTCATTTGCAGCTTGGTGACATTTGTCTAGCTGCTTAGAGGTCTCTGCCTTTTGCAGCAGACCCACTCCCCAGCTACCAGAAACTTGCTATGTAAATTATGAATAGGATGAAGAAAACTTTCTCCTTAAAGAAATTGCAATTATCAATTTAAAATTTACTGTCTTCTAAGGGACTTCAGAAGCTCTATGTTATATGATCAGGGAGCACAAAATAGCTTTATTTTATCTTGCAGAATGGATCCAACTTTGGATAATGATAAACTTTACAGACCATCCTATATTTCTAGCATTGAGCTATCTCCAAGATCAGGACCAGTAAGTGTGGAAGATCTTAAAACAGATCTCTCCTCTGAATTTTCTTTGGTTTCTTCAAGCTCAGACACAAGCCAGGTATGAAAGCTTTAATGTTTGGATTGCTTTGACATTTATTTTTTACAAAATAAACTTAGTCCTTTCTTTAATAAGAATAGTCAGAATTTAACAGAGAAGATGGAAAGCATCTTTTGTATGTTTTAAATTTGGAAGAGATGCATAGGATTAGATTAAGTTGTGTGGCATTGCATTGATGCCCTATTGGGCACATCAGTTTTCTCTGAATGAAGCTAATTGCTTGTTCATAGAATGTTTTATGGGTGTCATTCTTTATCTCTAGTTGGACTGAATGCAGTGTGTATATGTATATGCTACAAGATTAACTCATCACAGCCAATTTCTGCAGGGGCCTAAGCACTTGTAAAAAATGATGTAGGGAATTACTTTTGATTCACATGTTATCAAATAAGTCTATTCAAAACAGCCTGGTTAAATAGAACTGCCTTAACATGCTGGTTGTCAGACAAAGAATAAAGAGTCTAACTTCCTTAATTTTTTTTTTTAAGGGGAGCAGTTTGGACTCTAAGGGACACATACAAGTTTGCCTGCGTATTAGGCCATTTACATCACTGGAAAGAGAAAATGGATCACAGGTGTGATATTTATTTAGTTTAAAAATACCTTAAATTTGTTTTGTGGGAGTTTTTTTGTTTGTTTTTTTCCTCTAAATGGGCTCTTTATATTCTCTTCATGCCTGCATTGCTTGTGTTTCCTTTAATAGGACTGTGTTTCACTTGAAGACTCAACAAACATCATACTGAAGCCCCCCCACCACTATCTGAATCGACTAAGTGAAAAAACTGCTGGACAGATGATGCAGAAGTTCACTTTTTCACGAGTAAATGAGTTATCTTTAAAAATTTTTAATTTATTCCTGGAGCACGTTGTTTAACTTGTATTATTTAATATCAAACAAACTATATTTTTTGTTTAACTTTGTAGTCTTTAAGATTGTAAACAAAAAGAATTTAAAAGAGCCTTTAAAAGTCACTAATGATTGCTTAAACAAAGTATAAATGTTTCTTGGTAATACTCAGGTGTTTGGACCAGAAACAACTCAAGAAGAATTCTTTGAAGGTACCATGAAGGAACCGGTGCAAGATTTCTTAGATGGATGTAATCGTCTTGTTTTTACATATGGTGTTACAAATGCTGGAAAAACTTACACTTTCCAAGGTATAAGTAAAAACAAGTTCTTGAATACACTTCCTTTTTTTTTTTTTTTTTTTAATTAAGGATTACTTCTAGCAGAAATATTATAACTTTTTCCTACATTTAAACTGTAGACCCTGTATGTGGGCTTCTCTTGAATATCAGTAAATAGTCTTTGAAAATCTCTTTCCATAACAAATATAAATGCCAACAGACAGTCACTGTTTACATAAACACTCAGTCATATTGCTTTGTAAGGCTATAGTAATTTCAACCAGGTCTGTGAGACTTTTCTTTTTTCCTCCAAGTATCTAGTATGTCAGGAATGAGGGGGAGTTGGGAAAATAATGTTCTCTATCTATAACAAGATATTAAAAATATGAAAGTTTTTCTACACCAGACTAGTGTTTTCTCAAGTTTTCTTTTTATTATTATGGTTACATGCATTTTATATGCACAATTAAGAAATAATATTTGAGTCTGTTTCAGTTATTATAGACAGAGAATAAATGTTTTGAAACATGTTTGATTACTTTCGTGTATTTCTGTCTTGTCATGAGTTCCCAAGCTTAATAGTATCCTAGGAGACCTTGTCTCCCAATGCTTCTGTTCTGTTAAAGCTCCATATCCTTTCTGGTCAGAAGATGTCATTCTTCAGTTATTTTTCAAAGCATTGTAACAAATAAAGTGATTTGATTCATGTGGAAACCATTTTTTTTTTGTATCATCAAATGTTGTTCTGAATGCTATACCACTTATTTTATACAAAGAAATAGTAGAAGGACATAAGTTTTGTGCCTTCTGAAGCTGATCTTTATTGAAGTACTTTCAGTTACCATTTATCTGGGGCAATAATGGGATGTTCTTTTCTGTCCTTATAAATAATAGATAAATAACAAAACCCAAAAATTCCTGAAGTGTACAGTTCTTCCATGCTTGACTAGTTTGGGGGATATATTGTGTGGTTTTTCAAGAATTTTTGGTTGACATCTTTTTAGACTAGAAGCTTTTTATGGTATAGTTTTATAGTTTATAGTTTTGGGACTTGGATAAAAATTGGCAGGGCAGAATGTTGTGTACTGGGTGCCGTGATTTCCTCTTCTGTTATTCCACTCTAGCATTACATAGGAACCTGTATTCAGGCAATGGCAAAAGACTTAAGTGAAGGATGAAGCAGTGTTTTTAGGACTGTTCACCAGTAACTGTTACTTTGTTTGTGTTAGGTTGAATTGCAATAAATAAAAAAATTTTATAGAATAGATGAGATGGGGAGAAATACATGCAATGAAACAGTACTTAAGCTTAATATGTTATTTGGTTAATAGCTTGTGATTTGAGTGCCAACCACATTTTATATAAGTTCTGACTTAGGTGACCCAGCTAGTGCTATAACTTTTAAATGTCTGAAGAACAGGAGAAATTTATCAGCCTGATAAATTCTGCTCTCCCCTTTTCTCTCACTTAGAACTTAAGTGAACCCTTTTTAAAGTTGGGTTCAGAAAGATGAAGTGTACACTGAGGCTTTTATTTGACTCCTTTTTGTCATTCAGGTGCACAAGTAGTATGTTATGAGAAAAAGGTCTGGGACAGGGAAAGGAGTGAGTCTTCACAAGACTTTTAGAAGATTTTTGTAGGGTCTGTGGAGTTAGTACAGGACTGCAGCTAAAAGATCGGTCATGAGTTTTGTTTGAAGATTGCTTCCTTGAGAGAGAGTGAAGGCAGGCTATGAAATACAGTTGAAAAACTGTGAATCTTTATTAAATGTCTGTTGGTTGTGGGGGTTTGTTTGTTTATTTTCCCACAAGGCTAAGCTTATGCAGAATACTCCAGCAGTTTTTATTTTATGTTATGCTCGTCATTGGTGTAGAGCATGAACTGTTGCTGAAAGTTGAATACTTTTAAAAAGACTCTAATGGCATTTCTATTACCTTGAGAATACAAAAACCCCTGTATGCCTTAAGATTTCTTTTTTTTTCTGTCTTCATTTATCTGTATACCTTGTTCACACTAATAATTAGAATTTTTCTTTTGTATGTTCTTTCAGGGACAGAAGATGATGTTGGTATTCTGCCAAGGGCCTTGGATCTGTTGTTTAAAAGTATTCAAGGAAAGCTATACACAGCAATGGATCTCAAACCCCATCGGTGTAGAGATTATATAAAGCTGACTGAAAACCAAGTGAGAGAAGAAACTGCTATTAAAAATTCACTACTTCG